GCAAAGGTTATCAAATTATAGAGGCCGGGCATGCGAATGGGCGAGCATCCTGTGAGCAAGCGCATCATTATCTCTGCCCCGTCACTGTAATTTCACGCAAGTGAACACAAGAGGCAGGCAGGGCACTGTCTGTCCTGTGTGAGCTTAATCTGCCCCCGCTGTTGTCATTTTCAGATGTTTTTCTGTTTACGTAGATGCTGGGAAATGAAGTGCTTCGTTAGCAATGGACAGAAGAGGTCAGCTAGTCCCAGCCCACTGCGGCTTTGCCTGGGTGCTTATTACTTAGGGGAGGAGGGAGGAGCGAGCTAATAAAGCTACTGCGTGTGTGTGGAGAGGGGGAGGGTGGATAAGAATTGGCTGATACAAGAAGTCCCACGATATACAAGAGACGTGGAGTGGATGCTATGTAGGACCTGCCTATAAAGCCCATGAGCTTTGTAGTCCAGTGATTTTGAATGTATGTCTTTCCCAGCTCACATCACAACCCCATTCAATTGAGTGTTTTCTTCTTCTTCTTCTTCTTCTTCTTCTTCTTCTTCTTCTTCTTCTTCTTCTTCTTCTTCTTCTTCTTCTTTTCCTTCTCCTTCTCCTTCTCCCTCTCCTCCTCCTTCTTCTTCTTTTTGGTTTTTTTTGAGACAGGGTTTCTCTGTAGCTTTGAGAGGAGAGTTGGTCACAGACAGCTAGTGGTGTCATCGATAACGGTTGTGTAATCAAGTCTCCAAAGAGGATAGGTGCAGATGGACTTCCGGGAGCTGCCTAGTGGCTTTGCTGGACGGTCAGTCCGTTGAGAGGGCGGGGAAGGCAGAGTGCTCCTCCCTTCAGGCCTCATCCCACTCATTACCTCCACCTACCTGCCCAGCTGTACCCTTTGCAGTTTCCTCTGTGAAAACAGGGTAAGTGGAAGCAAAATGGCTCCCTGGGTTCTGTGAGCAGCTATACCAAATTAATCAAACCTAGCAGGGCATTATGGGAGCTCTGGATTATAGGCCACCATGCACTTCTGCTACTCTTTGGGCTGTTATCCGAAATGTGGGGGGGTTGTCTAGTCTGAGGGACTGAGCCCCCCACCTGTGGAATTTGATGTCACCTCCAGGTAGACAGCACCAAACCAAATCAAGCCAGATGCTATTCTAATTGGCAAGTCCTTTTGGTTCTATTTGAGTTCAGAAAAATTCATCTGCCTGTCTCTGTAACCATGTTCCACCTTAGCCCATAAAAAGGACAAACTGATAGGAAGAAGCAGTTGCCCAGTCCCTCGGAGACAATTACAGTCTCCAAATCCCAGTGCCGGACCAGGCCTTCTTTGGGCTCTATCCGATAGATATGTAATGTCTACTTGTTTGTTTATGTTGACGGGGCTGGGGTGGAAGCCAGAACCTTGAGGTTGCTAGACAATCACACTCCTACCAGCTACACCTCATCCTTTGCTTGCTCTTCAGCAAGGCTTTGTGTCTGGGACAACTCTCTTTATTTCCCAGATGAGGGGCATGAGTTCGGGGTGCTCCGTTATACTCAGAATGAAGCAGGGAGCGAGCAGCTGTGTGTACTCTGTCTCAAACTGTGCTCAGTCCTGAACTCAGTCCCACGTGTCTGGAAATAGGAGAAACTGACCTAGATTTCCATGACTCCTTTTAATGCTCCCAACATTCTTGGGACTTTGCTGTTTTTTTCTCTTAAAGATTTATTTACCTCTATTGACGTGTGTGAGTTTCTTGCATGCACATATGTATGTATGGTGATGTGTGTACCTGATGCCTGCAGAGGCCAGATGAAGGCACAGGAAGTCCTGGCATTGGAGTGAAGGACACCTGTCTGTCATCACGTGGGTGCTGGGAACCAAAACTGGGTAGTACCCTGCAGGAGCAGTAAGTACTCTTACTAGCTGAGCCATTGCTCCAGCCCGGAACCTTTGCCTTTATTTTACTCCAACAGTGGAGACCTAGGTTGAAGATGAAATGATGGGGACTGGCGAGACAGCTCGGTGAGTACAGGTGCTAGTCACCGAGCCTGACAGCTCAGCTTCAACTCCCTGGACCCACATAGCAGAAGGAGACACCTTACTACCACAAATTACCTTCTAACTTACACACACACGCCGTGCCCTGCTTTTCTACCACATAGACACAAATAAATGCAAAAATCAGTGAAAAAAAAATGATAGGTTTTTGGAATCCATTATAATTACAACAATATCCTTTGGTTATACATGCACGGAGTCAACCACTCAGGGTTGGAAAATAATTGAAAAAAAAATTCTTTGTGCTAAATACAAACAGATTTCCCCATCATTCTTTTAAGAAAGAAGTGTGGTATGTTGTGTACTTGTACGATGTGTGCATTATTTAGTTTAAAATCATCTACAAGTGCTTCAAAGTACCCAGAAGTGTGTGCACTGGTTCTCTGAATATTATAGCACTTTATATAAGAGATGGAGCCTCTCTAAATGCACCTATCTATAGGGAATTGGTTCCCGGACCCTTTGAGGATATGACGCTGTGTCTCATGTCTAAAGCTCTTCCACATGCTCCAGGCATCTTCATGGGATGGGAATCATTTATTTCTGTGGCCGAGAGGTTTTTTCTCTTCCTCAGGCCTTGACAGAAAAAAAATATATGTATGGAGCTGTTCTGACATCACAGAGCCCAGAAATCCCAGGACCTGGCTAAACTGGGGGCCAAAGAGAATGAGAAATAGAGAAATGATTCCGAAACAAAGCAGCACTTGCCCCATCCACTTCCATTTTGTCAAACATGCTGGTGACTCACTGGCTGTCTGCAGGGAGGTCACTGTGATTTTGGAATTGCTGCTGTTTTAAAGTGTTTCCCCAAACTCTGAGGTTGCAACCTCACACAGGTGTGATGGTGTGAGGAGATGGAGCCGTGGGGAGGTGATTCTGTCATGAGGGCTCACTCCACTCTCCTAAATGGAATTAGCATCTTTATTCTATGCTTTTAAATATGGAGAACAATAGAGAAAGACAGCTGATGTCAACCACTGGCCTTCCTGTGCACACACACATACACACACACACAAGTGAACACACATTCTCATGTACACGTACGTACACTCCCCCTCCCACACACACACATAAGGAACCTCTGCTTCTGTGTGTGATAACATAGCAGCACCAAGGCACCTTCTGTGACTCAAGAGAGTGGTCCATTCCAGACTCTAAACCTGCTGGTTCCTCGGTCTTAGACTTCCCAGCTTTTAGAACCATCAAACCTGTATTTTTGTGATTTGTAATTACATGGTTTAAGATGTGCCATGAACAGCCTGATAAATCGGTACTGGGCACAAGATTCCAGGTTTGTAATAGTACCTTTGGTACAAAACAAAAGTTTTGGCAAAAACATGACTTTATACACTGAAAGAGCCATAATACTTTATTTAAAATATATACAAAATTATTACTTTGAAACATATATATTACTATCCAACATATATCGTATAACACACATGTATGTAAATTTTGGTACCTTCACTCAGTTTTGTGATTTCTCTTTGTTCAAGGTTCCTGAATAAAATTTCTCTATAATACCACTGGAGAGGAGGTGCCCATAAGCTTGCCCCTCATAGTAGTCTGGCAATTCTCTTGGGCACCACTGGGCCCTGTGAACTTGACCCATGGAAGCCGAGACCAACCCTAGCCTTGCAGATCACTGGGAGAGGCATAGGATTGGTGGCACCTGCCTTAATAAGCTACATGCCAGTCCCACTGTCTCTCTCTTTTCCTCTTGGCTGATGAAAACTGATCAGTCGTTCTCGTGACAGACCCTCCCTTGGGCTGAGGTTAACATAAGTTATGGTCTCTTCACACCCCACCTCCCTCCACTGCCTCCATCACCACTACCGCAGGAAGAGGGTAGGAGAGCAGGGAGCTGGTCTCTGAGCATAACGTGGAAAGAAGTAAGAAACGAAGCCAGCTGGAACTTCTGTGCTCTTGGACTACTAGCTGTGGGTGCATTTCAGCCTTCTTTTGGGCACTGTCTCTTGCACAGTGCATTCCATCCACTACATCCATACACTAGGCATTTACTGGACAGATGCCCATCTTACAGATGAATAAATGAATGTAAGGGATCTGGCGATTTCAGGCAAAAAAAAAATCACCCCATTTAGAATCAAGGGGACTTATCTCTTCCGGGTCCTTTGGCTACGAGCAGGTGTAGAATCAAGGAGACTGAAGTCATGTAGACTTGCTTCCTCCTTTGACAAATGGGTAAACTGAGGCTGACAGAAGATGAAATGAACAATATTACTGACTGGTCCCTGATACAGTCAGACCTGGACTCATATTTCCTTAATTTCTCCCTCTCTTCACATCTGACTTTGCAAAGAAAGCTCAACAGACCCACTGCTGTGTCCTGGGCATGCAGAACTCACCTTCCTACACCAGAAGCTCTCGGTCATATAGGTGGCCACGAGCATAGTGGCCAAGCCAAATGTCTCCTCTAAGGAGCTTCCCTCCCAGGATTGGATCCTGGGCAAGAGGATTTGACAGCAGCAGTGGGCGTGAGTGAGGTAGGAGGATCAGAGATGGACGGGTATAAGCCCAGCTTTGAGGAGGGGGTGTCTGTTCTGTCCCTGTAGCAATTCTGGTGCTGATGTGGATTTGGTGCCTCACAAGGCTCTGGGTCTTCCAGAGGAGATGTGTAAACAAAGCTAAGCCACTGGCTGCTTCTGCTTCGGAGAGCAAGTCACTACGGAGACTTGCCCAACGGACGAGTAACACTAGGTGTGTTCTTAGCACACTGGAAAGGATGGAAACCAAGTGGACGAAGAATGGATAGGGATAAAGGAGACTGTCGCACTCACCAGATGTGGGAGGAGTGGACACACGCCCAAGTGTCCAGGTGGACTTCTCATTTCAGTTTTGCTGTCACAAAGTACATTTCTGTCACCTCCCCACCCCCGTCCCACCCCTACCCTGTCACACTGGTGACCTTAAGAACATCCCAATGTGATTTCCAGAAAGGATAGTTTGTCATGATCAGAAACACAGAGTTGAACGTTATGGAGACCTCTGGGCCACACCCAGGCCCTGTAGATACAAGTGTCAGCGTGAACAAGGGCACCACAAACTGCCACCAGGGGCTTCTCCTGAGCATGTGGAGTGGGGGCTGGGATGCAATGGGTGTGCTCTGTCTATAGACCCTCCTCTTGTCCCACCTTCAGCCAACTTCACTTTCCCCCTTCCCCTCATCCCCTCTCACTTTCTGGGCCAGCTCCTGCAAGCCCCGATTCCCATTAGAACTATATTTTTTTTTCTGAGAGAGAAAAATAATAATTTGCCTTATGGAGATCAGAAAATTGAAAGCCACAGATCACCTGGTAACAAATGAGTACCTTTGTGCTTGTGTAGTCACCACAAAACGCAGACAACTAAAAGCTAGAGAGCAGAGTTCGGCCGGGACCAGAGCGGTCCCTCGGCCTGGTCTGACCGGCTCCCTAGACGGTGGATTGGTTTTCGTTGCACACGTAGACGGTGCTCGGCTGGATTCTCCTCTGGATCCGCTCAGGCACTTTAGGGAGGATTTGGAAAGTCTGGGGAAGTAACTCTATGCAGGCCTCACGGAATTTCTTGATCCTCCAGCAGTAGACGATGGGGTTGAAGACGGACTTGAGGTAACTGAGCCACAGGACGCACGTGCTGGTGGTGTAGAAGGAGGCGCTGTAATAGAACCGCCGACTGAACGCAGACAGCAGGCTGTAGACTGAGTGGGGCAGCCAGCACAGCGAAAAGCCCACGAAGAGGATGAGGATGGTGGTGAAGGCCTTGGTTTTGAAGCTCAGGTCCAGGCTGACCTGCTGCTGCTGCCGCCGGATCTTTCTCCGGCCATCCTTGGACAACTGTTTGAGGTCCAGGCTGTCTGACTGGTTGTGCACGCGGACGGCATTCTTCCGCACCGTGTTGAGGATGCACAGATAGGAGCACAACATGACCCCGAAGGGCGCGAAGAAAACGGCTATCACCAGCGTCACCACGTAGGCGCGTTCGGCTGGGAACTCGGTGTAGCCCAGAACACACTGTGGGGCCCGAGCCGGCACCTCCATGAACGTCCAGCCGATGAAGGAGGGCGCAGAGATGCAGAAAGACAGCACCCAGGAGGCTGCGATGATCACCTTGGCCCTGCGTGGGTTCAGCTTGTCCTGTCGCTGTACGATGATGAGAAAGCGGTCTACGCTAATGATGAGCAGGATGGCCACGCCCTCTAGGACAAAAAACCAATAGAGTGTAGCTGAGAGCCTACAAAAGTGGTCCCCGAAGTGCCAGCGGACAGTGATGAGGGTGATGGCGGTGAAAGGCATGCAGCATAAGGACAGCATGATGTCAGAGAAGGCCAAGGTGGCCAGCAGCAGGTTGATGGCTGAACGCATGGCCGGCCTCTGATACACGATGATGCAGACCACCGTGTTGCCGAGGAATCCTACCACGATCATTAGCAACATCGTTATTGCCAACGAGATCCTGAGTGGTGTGGACAGTGGTGTGGCCCCGGGGTCCGAAACGTCGCTCCCATTCAGCAGCCGATGTTCGTATGTCCCAATGGGTGTGCTGTTACAGGCCATCCTGATGAGAAACTCGGCACCGGGACAGAAGTGGCTGCAAGGGCACCCTCCAGCCCTTGGGTGGCTTTCATTTTCTGTTTGCTGGCTGCATCTTTTCATTTGATGTCGACGGCTCTCTAGTGCTCTTGAGTCGTTGGGAGAAATCTTCCTTTGGAGTGGCTAGCTGGGGTTTGCATTCTTGTCCTGTCTCTCTGGGAGCCATGTGTTTGCCCCGCTCCCTAATAGGACACTACAGCCTAGAGCAAGAAGGCGGGGGAGAAAAGAATCAGCTATTGGAAATCTGGCGGAGTAGAGCATGGTCTAAAGTTTACAGGTACTGGTGGTTTAACGTGTGAGGGTTTCACATCTATGCATTTAGCCAGCCAACCCAGGAAATACTCAGAAAGCCCCAGCGGAGTCTGAAGGGAACATATGTAGACTCCTCCTTGCCACTCTTCCCTAAGCAATATGATTTGCATACTGCCTTCATCACAGCATGTCATATACAATCTGAAGAGGAGTTCTAGGGTTGTATGCAAACAGATCCCTATCCTCTATAAAGGAGTTTAGAATCCAGAGATGGTAGTCTGTAAGGGAGTGTTGGGATCAATTCCTCGTGAGTTTCCAGGGACAGGAGAGCATAGAGAAGAATGATTCCTTTATTTCTGACTTAGGACACAGGCTGATATTTACAAAGGTTGAGTCTTGTCAAACAGCCCAGGAAACCTAAACAGCTAGCTATCCTCTGGGCACTTGGAAGCTCTGCCCTGTAGGTACTTTGGAATTACCACTTTTGTAATGATGTGGGATTCCCCTCTGTATGCTATGAATACCATTTGTTAATAAAAAAAATGCTTTTGGCCAATAACTTAACAGAATATAGCCAGCCAGGCTGGAAAAGATATATAGAGTAGGTGGAGTCATGGAGAAGCCATGTAGCCTCCACAGGAGGCATACGCCGAACGCTGGATGGAACTTTACTGGTAGGCTACCACCGTGTGGCAATACAGAGATTAATAGAAGTGGGTTAATTTAAGATATAAAAGATAGCCAAAAAGAAGTGTGAGCTAATATGCCAAGCAATGTTGTAATAATACAGTTTCTGTGTAATTATTTCACATTTGGGTGGCCAGGAAATGTAATTTGAATGGATTTTTATGAAAATCAATGGAATGGGCTCTTGAGCAAACCACCTGCTTTGGGATGCTGGCTTCAAGCAGGCAGGGCTCTGGCCTGCTTTAGTCTGTGTGTCTCCAGCACCTAGGACAGCGCCAGACTGACAGGCAGGTGGTACTTCCCGGTTCCTTGATGAAGAAAGAGATGATTAATTAGTTTTTTATACTGTCACTTTAGTATTTATTTACTCTTTCTAAAAAGGATATTATGGACTGTCCTTTGTTCAGATATTTTTATCTGCTGAGTTAAAAGTGGAGATATTTTTTCAAAAGTTAACTCTATTATAAAAAAAATCACACAGCAAAATTAACCAGACCCGAGGTCTATAACCTCAGTCTTAACTTAAAAGACAACACCTTCTCAAGGTGTGAAAGGCAAAGGGGAGCAGGTGTATGTGATTACATCTCAGTAGTGCCAGGGACAAGTGTGTACCTGGACACCATCACTACCACCAAGGCCGTAAACACATCCATCATTTCTGAAAGTTGGCCTTCTACCCATCTTTACTGAGATCTACCTTTGGAGAAAAAAAAATCTGAAATGTGTTCTTACGAAAAATGTTAAGTACATTTGCTTACATTTGAGGCAGGTGTAAGCTCATACTCAACGTGGAGCCATAAGACAATAGTGACCTTGTGGGTAACCTTTGCCTTGTTTCCCTGGCAGGAACATTTCAGATGAGTATAAAAGCTGCTGTAAGATTCATCTTGGAAACACGAAGAAGGAGGGGAGAGGGCCAGTTCTTAAAAACAGTGTTAATTTTTCTTGCTTTTCTCAGAGATGTGGGAGGAATGGTGTCCAGGAGCAGAGGTCTGCAGTCAGAAGTCATTGCTGGGTGAAAGGAATCCCCCTAGCCCCGCCCTAGGCTCCTCCCATGTATTCATTCCCTGGGTATCCTCACTCACTCATCCCTACTGTTGGACTCCCTCATCTAGAATGCATCAGGTCCAGGTGCAGAGTAGCAATGCATATCACAGAGCCATGTCGCCACATCTGGATGGCAGAAGGCTCTCTGGAGGTGGCACTGTTACTATTTAAGCCCCGAGACAAACCAGTCACATTGCTACGATGGTTACTATTTCATGTACATGCATTTGCATGTGGAATAGACCTGATGGCATTGTTTTGAAGTCTACTGCGTCCACTGCAGCTGATTGCCCCAGGAAACTGACCGCGATAAAGCAGACTCCAGGCACTCAGCTGGAAATAGAAACTAGGAGTTCACAGCAGTCACAGCTGCTGAGAGATGACAGAGTTGTGTGTGCATGGGTCCGGAAGATGTGCTGGAGACTGTCTTGTCCCTTCCAGATTCCCTGCCCTCTCCATCTATCCCTGGAAGGATGGCCCCTAGTCCATGAAGGAGGGTGAGAAATGAGGTCTCTTCTGCCCCAGCTTCCTTTTGCATGGTTGTGGTTGATCCTTCTGCAAAGCCCCAGCTACTGGGGACAGCTGTGCCCTACAACCTGGCCCTCTTCTCAGGTTCAGCAAGTGTTTCTTGTATCCCAGCAGGCCTTTTCACTTCCCTCATCCTAGCTCACCATCAACAAAAAACTCTATTAGAACTCTTTGAGTATCTATTTTCAGCACCATGCCAAGGGTCAATCCAAACAGAAATTACCAGGAAGCAGAAAACAAGAGTGAGTAGAAAGTATGGGCAAAGGTGTGTGCACATATGTGCATGTTTGCATGTGTGCATGTATGTCTGTATGTGTCTGTGTATGTGTGTGTGTGGTTTTTAGTTACACGTCCCTATGTATCTTTGTAGTATTTACTTCTTTCCCAATGTATAATAACGAATGGATGCTTTAGCCTTTTGTTTTTATCTTATCTGTTACTTACCTGCATCTTTGGGTACCCACATCAAACAGCCACTCCCAGCAGTTTCTGGCTTGTGTTATGCTGATGATGCTCACACAATGCTGGAGGACAAGTTCACATATTTGTTCCTGACTTACTATTTATACTCAATAGTATAAATACTATTGTTCTCACCACAAGGCTTGTTTAAGGTTGAGCTTGTTTTATTACCTCACTGTGGTGGTTTGAATAAAAACGACCTCCATAGACTCATAGGGAGTAGCATTATTAGGAGGTGTGGCCTTGTTGGAATAAGTGTGGCTTTATTGGGGCAAGTGTGTCAAAGGGGTGGGCTTTGATGTTCCAAAAGCTCAATCCAGACCCAGAGGCTCTCTCTTCCTGTTGCCTGCAGATCCAGATGTAGAACTCTGAGCTCCTCTTTCAGCACCACATCTGCCTGCACGCTGCCATGCTTCCCACCATGATAATGGACTGACCCTCTGAACTGTAAGCCAGCCCCAATTAAATGGTTTTCCTTTATAAGAGTTGCCAAAGTCATGGTGTCTCTTCACAGAAGTAAAATCCTAGTGAAAACACTACTGACCTCTTAATGACAGATGAAGAAGTGTTTTGAAGTCATCTGAGAAGCTCTGTAACCATAAGAAGATTGATAATGTCTATGTGATAGTCCACTGAGCATGGACAGCATCCCTTTTGCCTCTACCATATGAGATGCACAGTTTAGTAACTCTTGTCTTTATCCACATTCTCTCAGTGTTTTGCGTCTATTTGACCATCAGCTATATTTTTATTTTTGCCTAACTAAAGCCCCCATTTATCACCTGTTACTCTGTGATATTTTTATAAGTAGACTTTAATAATTTAATCCCCAATAAAACTATTTACATTTTTATTACTATGTAATATTGTTCAATTTTGGGTATTTTATCTGCTAGAATCCTATTTGTCTGACTGGCTGAAGATTATGATCTACATGGGCTGGATATACCAGGAGTACATTCCTAATATAAACATCAAGTTAAGTATAAATTTTTGGTAACCTATCAAAACTTTGAAGCTAAAAGAATCACATATTACAGTTTGTTTTCTTCCTATATGGTCCATGACTGTCATGTACAGATTTTTGTGTTTCCCTCAAGTTCTTTTTTTCTTTTTCATACTGCCATGTCCTTCTTGGGTCTAGTATTTTTGACTGGACTTGCTGTCCTTCCTGGAGATTTGCCTCTACTCCCCTTTGGGCTCTGTCCAGTGGGTCAGTAGCACGGCTTCTCACGATTTATTTGTTCCTAAATGCCCTGCTCTCTCTTTTCTGGAAAATGACTGTAAATTACTTGCTAAGAAAATGTTCCAGGGAAACAGGGAAAGCTTCAAGCTAAGAAAGCATTCTAAGCCTTTGTGTCTCTGAAAAGAAAAAAAAAAGGTATTTTTCTTCTACCTTCTCACAAATGGGTACTTTGTCTGACAATTGAGATAGCAAGAATTTACTGCCAGAAATGGGAAGCTTTTCCCCTTCAACAATTGGTATCACTGATGCTGACTTTAAAATAGATTCATTATTTTTCTTCATTGATGACAAGCGTTTTTCTCTTGAAGTTTTGTTAGTTCTCTTTTTACTGGAAATGTTGGGGAAAGATGTACATCTGGGTCACTTTTTACTATGTGGGACACTCACTCACGAAGCCATTTAAACCCAAAGGTCCACAGAGGTCAACTCTAGAAAAATCTTTTCCTCTGTAGGTTGGATATTCCCACTGATCCTGTGGTAGAACACAGATTGGTTTGAAAGCTAGGCCATTCTTCCAGCCTCAATTTTCTTTTCCATTAAAAAATCTTTCCCTTTTATATTGTATACTCTGAAGATTAAAAATCTTTTATATTTAGTGATTATTTTCAGCCTCATGTAGCTCATGATGGTCTCAAAGTCACTATGTCATCCCAAATCCTAAACCTCCTACCTCTACCTCCCAAATTCTAGAACTGTGGTCAGGTGCCATTATGACTAGCTCATTTAGCTTTACTTAATTCTGTTTTTTTGTTTTGTTTTGTTTTTTGTTTTTTTGTTTTTTTTGGTTGTTTTGTTTTTCAAGACAGAGTTTCTCAGAGTAACCACCTTGGCTGTCCTGAAACTCACGTTGTAGAACACGTTTGCCTCCACCTGCCTCTGCCTCCTAATGCTGGGCTTAAAGGCATATGCTGTTAAATTGGGAGCGTAGACCCCCAGCCCCTCGCATCTATCCCAGCCTCCCCCACAGAGTTGTATTGG